TCCCCCGGGACCCAGTGTCCGGACTGTTCACACTGGACATTGTGACCCCCCCGGCTGGGACCCCCCCTCAGGTGGCTGCATCTACCCAGGTTGCTGATGCCTGCTCCTGTCAGTTACTCACCCACCCGACTCTCCAGTGGCACCACCGTCTACGTCACCCTGCGCTCCCGCGTCTGCGTCACATGTCACAGCACGGTCTCATCCTAGGCCTCCCTGGGTCGTTCTCTGAGTTTCCCTCCTCGTTTCCCCCTACCGCCGCACCGCTACAGACTCTGCACATGGACGTCTTGGGCCCCGCCCCCGTCCATGGGCCGCGTCGAGAGCGCTACTTCCTCGTGCTTGTCGACGACTACACGCGCTACACCACTGTGTTTCCCCTGGAGCGGAAGGCCAACGTGCCTGACGTTCTTATCCCGAGCCTTGTTGCTGCGCGTGTCCGTCGCGGTCTCCCTGTTTTGTGCCTCCACTCCGACCGTGGTGGCGAGTTTGCCTCTAGTGTCCTTGGTCGTTTCTGTCGTGCGGAGGGCATCACCCAGACGTTCACCTTGTCGGACTCCCCGCAGCAGAATGGGGTCGCTGAGCGACGCATCGGTTTGGTCATGGAGGTGGCTTGCACCTCCATGATCCATGCCGGTGCACCCCATTTTCTGTGGCCATTCGCCGTTCGCAATGCCGCTCACCAGCTTAACCTGTGGCCGCACCCCCAGAAGCCTCAGGTTTCGCCAACCCTCCTTTGGTCTGGGTCACCTGGTGACGCATCTGCGTTCCACGTCTGGGGCTGCCTTGCTCACGTTCGTGCCTCTGGCACGGACAAGCTCACTTCCCGCACCCTTTCCTGTGTCTTCCTCGGCTTCCCCCTTGACGCGTCTGACTGGCACTTATACCACCCGCCGTCTCACAGGTTCTTTCACTCCCGTGACGTCACCTTTGACAAGTCCGTCTCCTTCTTCCGCCGCTTCCCCCACCGAGGTCCCCCGGTTACCCCCCCCCTTGTTCCTGGTCACCCCTTCCCCGGTCGTCGCCGCCCCTCCTCCTCCCCCTCCCCGTCCTGCCCCCTCTGGTGTTTCCCACGTTACCCCATTTACGTTGGTTGTACCGGTTGAGGAGTCTACTGACTCTGGTAGTCCTGCGGTGCAATCCTTGCCGCCTGCCCCTTCTCAGGTGTCCCCTCCTCCGCCGCCTCCGCAGCCGCAGTCGCCACCGCTGTCGCAGCCGTCGTCACTGCCGCCGCCGTCGCCGCAGCCGTCGTTACGACCGCCGCCGCCGCAGCCGTCGCCGCAGCAGTTGGTTGCCTCTGGGGGTGCTAGAGTTGGGGTGGGTACTCGTCCTGGGACTCATGTCGTGGCTTGTCCCGGCGGGCCTGGGGGTGGTACCGGTGCTCGAGGGGTTCTGAACTCATGGGGTGTTTCTTCTAGGGGTACTGGTGTGGAGTGTTCTGGAGGTAGCCGCCCGGCAGCTTGCGGTCCCGGTGTCGGCATCACACCGCCGTCACAGTAGTCCCCGCCGGTGTCTGCTCTTCGCCTGCTCGGCCTTCCGTCCCCTGTCCCCGTGCCCGTGCCTCCTCCTCCTCCTGTCTCCGGCCCTGTGTTCCCTCCTCCGGATGTGTCTCCAGCCCATTTCCCCCTTCGTTCCCCTCCTGTGTCCCCTCCTCTGTCTCCTGACCCGACTCCCCCATCTCACGTCTGGTCTCGCCGTCCCTCCCGTGCTCGACCTGTCTCCCCTGTCTCATGCTCTCACCCTAAGTTGCTTCGTTCCCATGCGTCTTCTCCTCCCCTTCTCCCGTCGCCCCCTCCGTCCTCCCTTGTCGTTGCTCCCCCCCCTCTGTCTGACTACCTGCGTGCCGCTTGTCCTCTTGTTCTTCGGGTCCTTGCTTCTCTCGTTACCGACCCGTCTGTTCCGGTTTCGAGCCTTGACGCCCTTGTCGCTGCGGTCGCTGACTTCGCCTCTACCCGCCGCCTTGACTACGCCACCGCTCTGGTCTCTGACCCTGCATGTCCTCCGTCTATCGGGGGTGCTCCTGCCCTTGGCACTGACGTCCTGGAGGACCGCCAGTACGAGCTTACTTTCCTGTCCGAGGCTGCTCCCCATCTCTGTTCCATGCTGTTAGTCCGTGAGGGTGATCTAGATGCTTTCGACATCCCGACCCCTCGCACTTACGCTGAGGCGGTCTCGGGACCCTGGGCCTCTCAGTGGATAGCTGCCATGGAGCTAGAGATGGCATCTTGGAGATCCACCGGCACCTACGTCGACGCAGTTCCCCCACCTGGGGTGAACGTAGTTGATGGCCGCTGGCTCTTTAAGGTGAAGCGCCCTCCTGGAGAGCCGCCTGTGTTCAAGGTGTGCTACGTGGCTAGAGGTTTCAGTCAGCATGAGGGGGTGTACTTCTTCCAGACCTTCGCTTTGACCCCGAAGATGACTACTCTTCGGGTGCTACTACACGTAGCAGCGCTACGTGACTACGAGCTTCACTCCCTCGACTTCTCCACTGCACTTGTTCAGGGCAGTCTACACGAGCATGTCTACCTGCGTCTCCCTCAGGGCTTCACTGGTACCTTCCCTCCTGGGACCCAGTGGCTCCTCCGGCGCCCCGTCTACGGCCTGCGGCAGGCTCCCCGTGAGTGGCACAACACGTTGCGTGCTACGCTTGCTGACCTGCAGTTCTTTCCTTCCTCTGCAGACCCCTCGCTCTTCGTTCGTGCTGGCCAGACTCCGTTCTACATCCTTGTTTACGTAGACGACCTGGTCTTCGCCACGGCAGACAGGGACGCACTGGCCTCCATGAAGGCAGAGCTGCTGAAGAGACACACCTGCACTGACCTTGGAGAACTGCGCCACTACCTTGGCTTGCAGATCTCCAGAGACAGAGCAGCCCGCACCATCACTTTGACTTAGTCACACTTGGTGCGCTAGGTCCTTCAAAGGTTCGGCCTTCAGTTCTCCTCCGCACAGCCTACTCGTCAGCCTCTAGACCACATGCCCTCCGCTCAAGTTCCTGAGGAGTCAGCAGAGCCCTGTGGTCCTTACACAGAGCTGGTGGGTTGGCTCATGTACCTGATGACTTGCACTCGCCCAGATCTCGCATACCCTCTCAGCATCCTGGCTCGCTTTGTGGCTACAAGCAGACACCGACCTCAGCACTGGTCTGCCGCTAACAGGGTTTTGCGTTATCATGCAAGTACATCGGGCATGGGGTTAGTGCTTGGAGGACGTAGGCCAGAGGTCCTTACTGGACACACAAACGCTTCTTGGGCAGACGTCGCCGAGACCCTCAGGTCCTCACAGGGCTACTACTTCAGCCTTGGTTCAGGTGCCGTCTCGTGGAGAGCTACCCGCTCCTCGTCTGTTGCCCAATCCAGCTGTGAGGCCGAGATCTACGCCGGTGCCATGGCGGCACAGGAGCACCGCTGGCTGACCTTCTTGCTCACTGACTTAGGTGAGCGGCCTAGCTTTGCCCCGGTCCTGTACGCTGACAACAGGGCCATGATCCTCCTGTGTCAAGAGCCTCGACTCGAGGGCAGAGCGAAGCACATTCAGCTGCGGTACTTCCTCCTGCGTGAGCTGCAGCAGCGTTGCCAGGCGCGCGTAGTACACTTGGCCTCCGGTGCCAACCCAGCTGGTATCTTTACGAAGGTGCTTGTGCCTAAAGATTATCAGCGGCACTGTGTACAGCTGGGTCTCGTTCCTGTAGCCTCTCACTTGCTAGGGCCTTGACTTTGTACTGACCTTTATATCTATATTTTACCCAGACTGGCCTTGTGGCCTCTCCTAGTGGCTGGACTAGTAGTGCCGCCCTGGGCTTGCTCTTGCCTTGTCTGTACTCCTTTTGACTCGTCTTTAGACCCTTGTCTTAGAGGCTGGACTAGTAGTGCCGCCCTGAGCTGCTTCTTCCCTTGTCAGGCACTGCACCTATATAGTCTAGGGGGTGTGTCAAATGTAACTTAGGTTGTTACTGCAGACTATACTAGATTGTGCCTTAGAGGGTACAACACCCTAGTCTATATACCCTTGTACACACACATTCTAGTTCAATCATTTTCTTTCTGATAGCGGGGACTCTGTCGTATCCGCAACTGGCAGGGGCGTGGAGGCGGCCGTTAGCTGCGACATGGTCCACGTAGGCATGTCGCGAGGTGTTCGCATGGCGTGTCCACTCTGGGTTTCAGGTGCGCACGTTAATTGATGCATTTCCAGTGGAACAAAACAAGATTTGACTCCAAACTGTCAATTGATTCTACTATAGACAGACTCGAAACTATATGAAGTTGGAAACAGAAAGGAAAGACGTTAAAAAAAAAAAAAAAAAAAAAAAAAATCAAAACCACCATTATTTCAAAACTACAGCACACGTCGACGAGGAGGAGTACGTGGCGGAACTCCACATGATTCTGCCGTCGCAAATGGCGTGTGTTGATTGGCTAGCATTGTGTTTCCGCGTCAGCCCGTGAGTAGGTGGATCGTAAGGGTGAGATTTGTTGGTGTTTGTGACACATTGCGCTCGCAACTGGTCGTCGACCACTCAGGAGCGCATTGACGTGGAACACACGATTTCTAATGGTGGCAACAAATGTTTCACATGGTGATTGCGACCATGCCCTCAGATTGGTTTTGGGGGGGTTGAAGCCTCAGGGTGACCCTTGTGACAGGCCATAGTTTTCAGGGTTGGGGTTTGGAAGTGGCATATTTTGTCAGGCCCAAAAGAATTCAAGGCTGACTAGCCAGGCCTACGCTTTCGACTAGCCTCATTAGTGTATGCTTTCATCATGTTTCTAGCAAGTTAGGCAACGTGCAACGTATGCTATTCATTGAAAATAGATAGGCTAACACATGATTGGGCCCCATAATCTGTTCACGGCTGCAGCTGGTGTGGCCACAAAGCATAGTCTTTTTGCTTCAGGTGCTATTGCTGGTGCTCACTCACTCATCTTCCCAGTCACCACCACCGCAGCTGCACTGCTCCCCTTCTGCCAGACCCTCATCATCTTCCTCTTCCATCTCCTCACCACCCTCGTCCTCCCCCTCCTCCCCCTCCTCCCCCTCCTCCCCCACCTCCCCCTCCTCCCCCTCCTCCCCCACCTCTCCCTCCTCCCCCTCCACCTCCTCCTGCTCGTCCTCGTCCTCCACAACCTTCTCCTTTCCCTTCACGCTCTTCACTCGGCGGCGGGGGCGGATCTGTGTTGAGAACGGCTTCCTCTTCCTCCCCTGAAACGCCTTCACCACCTCTTCCCACTCCGGATCGTAGTCCAGAAGCGCCATACTCATCAAGTATTCCATTGTCGCATTGCCCAAGCTGCCACGGCTCCAGCTCTTGATGATGTTTTGGCGGCAGAAACCCCTCTCGCACTCCACGGTGCTGAGGGGCAGCATCGCCACAGCCACCCATAGGCGGCCCAAGTTCGGGTACGCCTGCAGCCAGTCGTTGGTTTCAGCATCACAACAAGCCCTTCGTTGAACTTCCGCTCCCCCACAGGTGCCTCCTTCAGCAGGGCAATCAGGACTGGCAGCTCCTTAGTTGCTGCCCGCTTGTTCACTCCTGCAGGGCATGGTTGGTGGGGGGAAAGGGTGGTGCAAGGCGTGTAAGGCTAGACTTTTAATCACTGCAAGAAAACCAAGGTACGGGCGGGATGCGAGCCACAGCGATACAAGTACTAACTCTAGTTCTGCCTGTTTCTTAACAATACCACAGTATAACGCACAATGTCATGGGTATGATATGAGCGCGAACTCACCAGGTAAGACCTCTCTCCGACCAGCTGTCCGAAAGGGGTTGAACAGTGCCTGCAGCCAGTCCATGTACTGGGAGTAGCGCTCCTTCCACCTAGGCGGCAAGGCGTCAGGGATGAAGAGCATGTAGCCAGTGAGTTTCTCGAGGTCTCCAAGATGCTCGATGATGTTTTCAGCCGATGTCTTCGCAAACCGCATGCAGACGGTGCAGCACTCATCGTGGTTGCTTTCGTCGTGTAACTCGAACTTGTGCTGCACCTCCTCGCCACAGGATTTCCAGCCCTTAACCGTGACGTCTCGGCTTGTTCGGTGCGCCTTCATGAATGCAGTGAGGAGTGGGGAGTTGCCTCCGCCAAAGTTGGCGCCACACTCCACGTATCGCTGTTTGATGTACGCCACCGTTCGCCTGACGAGTCCATGCACCACTGTCAAGTCGATATGTAGGGCAAACATGCTTCAGAGAGCTGAGAGGCATACACGATGAGACCACAAAACTAGACATCGTGTCTCCAAACCGACCTGCCGGGCTTGAAAGGCTTTGTTGAGGCTGTTCAACAAGGTGAGAATGTCAGCAAGGAAGTACAAGTAGAAGTGAAATTTGTAGCTCTTGATGATGTTGTACATGGTGTCATCATACTCAGAGTAGAATGACCACTGCTGGAAGGAGAGCAACAAGCCGGCCAACTGCATCACCTCGAGACAACCAGCGTATGTTGTAAATACCCTGCATCTCGAGGTTGGTCTGCGTGAAGATGTCCTGAAGCTCCTTGAACCGCGCGTGCCAGTTACCGGATCGGGCTAACATCTCAGCGATGGTGTGGATGACCTTGTCGACGATGGCGAGCTCAGGTACACTTGTTACTACATCCTTAGCCGCCAACGCCTCTCTGCAGGAAGGTGAGGCAGGGACTGGTAGAAATTAAGGCGTGCAACTCAACATGTAACACATTAGTAGGTGAGCTCGGGGGTGAGTGAGCTCGGGGGTGAGTGAGCTAGGGCAGTAGGCAACAACGGGGGATAAGACTTGTGCAAGCGGCGTCGCATTCAGGATCACCATGCATGTGTCAAAATCTAGGTCAGTAAGATGCATACACCTGTGGGCAATGCAGTGTGAAGACACCAGGTGAGGTATCTTCATTCGCATGCGTGTCATCAGCCCGCTGGTGGAGCCCATCATCATGGCAGCGCCATCCGTGCTGATGCCCGAAATCTTCTCTGGAGCAACTCCGATCTTGGACAGGTGCTCCTGAATGAGGGCATGAATAGAGGCTGCATCACATTGATCCAGCATAAGTAGAGCTAGAAACTCAGTTACCACGTGGCCATCATGCATAAACGTTGCAAAAAGGATTAGTTGTTTCTACGTGGTGCGACTGGTCGACTCGTCACAGGAGAGGCCAATGAACGGGCTAGCGTGTATGTGGCACATCTATGAGTTATGGAGCCACCCCATTGTGCAGCGCATAAGCTGGGCAAAGCCGTACCTGTCATGAAGATGGGCGGAGGGCCAGAAGCAAATTAGGCTCACAGTCAACAAAGAACTGATGGTGTCAAAAGACGAAAATGCGGGTATACGAAGGGAGCTTGCAACAAGGGCATAAAGCAGTCCCAACCGCAACAGAAACACATACAGGTGAACTCACGTGGTATAGTATGTCCCGTAGCTCTTCTTTGGGAAGCCGGGTCAATTCTGTCTGGAGAGGAAGCGTACCAGCTTCACCCATGTACCAATGGGTGCATCACACTGACAGATGAAATGGAGGACCCACAGGAGTGCGATGAGTCTTCCCTTCTCTAGATCTTTGACTTGTGGGAAGTCGGAGATCTTCTTCTGCATCACCGCATCCTCCATTGCCTTCCGCTGTGACTTCATGCAGGCCTGGTGACGTGTGGTGCGAGCGTGCTTCTTCATGGCCTGAGTCTGAACGTCCATGGCGCCCTTCCCTTCGCTGCTGTACCTGGTTCCGACCACACCATGCTCAGAACACACGCTGCATTTGAGAGAGGGGAGGCCAGTTTTAGTACGACAAACAGCAATCATAGAAACTGCTTGTGCCAATCCGACTTAAAACTCTGCAGGGCTTGAAGATATAATAGTTCAGCAGCCTCGCTAAACTCCTCATCTGAGTGATCAGATCCTTGAATGCGCGACTCCAGTGGCGGCGCTGAGGACGAACCGGCGGTTGGGGGCGTTGAGGATGGGCCGGCGGTTGGGGTTCCAGCCACTGGCGTAGTTGTCACCGAACGGATGGACGGGTGCTCCACACGGCCGCTGGACTGTGCCGCCGATGGTGACGCCATTGGCGTAGCGCGAGATACTTGGTGTCTTCTCAAAAGCACTGTCACCCGTGCTGTCGCGAAGGTAACAGCAGCATGATGGTTCTCGACAACGGACGGTAAACGGAAGCAGAGCAACGCCTGGTGATATGTCCGTTTCGGCGGTGACATCGGTGTAGACAACCGCACTCCACCAATCCCGACGGTAGCAGAGTCAGCAGCGGGACAGCCTTCACCGTGCAGACCACGAGCTTTTGGCGGCGACCTTCGTGCGGCGTCACGTTATGGGCTGCGCACCGACGGCGACATGCATGCGGCGTCTCGCCCTTGGCTACGCTGGGACAGCGAGTGGCATCCAACATCACATGATGGATGGCGAGCCGATGGCGACATGCGTACGGCGTCGCGCCCAGGGCTGTGCTGCAACGGCGACGAACGACCAGCATCGCGCGGCGGGCTCCGCTGCGTCTGCAACGACCGAGCAGCATCGTGGGGGGGGGGTGCACGGCGACGACGACGAACAAGCCACACTACGCGGAGGGCTTCGATGGCGAGGTGGCGACGAAATTGCATCGCGATACGGGCTGCTAGGCAGAGGCGGGAGGGGAGAATCGTCTCGCGGTGGGCTTCGAGGCGGCAGCAGTAGATCAGCACCTCGCATCGGGCTGCGATGCTGCGGCTGCAAAATCACAGCGTCTCGGTAGGGGCTGCGAGGGGCCTCTGACGTCCGAGCAGAAACTCGCGGTGGACTGTGAGGGTGTGGCAGCGAACTCGAAGCAACTCGCGGCGAGCTGCTCTGCGCCGGCGTCGTCCTGCCTGTCATGTTCACAGAGCTAGGCAGCTGAGAAACTACTCGGGCAATATCACGCGCGGGGCTATGTGGCAGTGGTGGAAATGGATCGACACGCGTATCATCCGACCTCCACTTGTACGCTGAAGCGCCAGGAGATCTCGTGCCGACAGCAGACCTGGCTGAGCAGTCGCTGGCCTAGTCGACGCCTTTGGGCTGCGGCGTCTAGACCCTTGCAGCTGCCACCCATCGTCATCGCTCATGACGGGCGTGTAGGGGCGAGATGAGGCTAAACTAGAGTGATAGAGACATGACTCCGAGCATCTACTCCAACGCGCAGCAAGACCAGCGTGCCAAGAGCGCAGCAGAAGTGGTCGACCTGGCTGTAAAGAATCAGATGAAACAGGTGGTCCCCCCAGAACCGATTCGATGGGGACGGTGTGAGTGGGGGAACGACCAGCGTGACAAGGCATGCATGCACGCATAACAGCGTGTTGACCAGGCAGATGCATTCCTGCTGCTGCAGCTTGTGTGGGTGATACAATCTCTGCAGCATCTCGTTGGCGATTGGTCAAAGTTCACTAAACTCACCAAGGACCAATCACTGCAGCGAATCACGTTCCAATACAGCTTCAGTGCTGCTGGAAAATATGGCTAAGGACCACTCTGAACTCACCTCACATGTGCTCTATCGTGACTCCATCTAGGCTCGCTGATTCAGGTGAAGGACCAATCACGCCCTCACAAGTGCTCCAGCATGCATAGCCCCACGCCAAGCGTGATTTTGGGGTTGGGGGGGGGGTTTCGGTTTCAGGCCGAAATTTCGTTAAGGCTGATTAATCAGGGTACATGTAACAAGAACATACTATAAATCAGGCCTAGCAAAAAAAGGGCCCCTAGAAATCAGGGCAAGGGAAAATCGAAACCTGAAAAATCAGGCCGACCCCTGGAAAACACCTTGATGTACAGGCTTTCTAGCCTTTTTGGCCTGACTTCTGAGGCCTTGACTGCGACTGTCTTCATTGGCCAGGTGCGTACATGGGTGTTGCACCTAAGGAATAATTGCAGCTGAGAAAATTTTGCGCTTGTCGTCGTTGAACCAATCGCGTATGACCTGTAGGGGGGAAAGGGGTGGGGAAGGTTGGCTGAGGAGATGACTACTACCGCATAGTTACTTCTAGTGAAATGGGAGGTTTGCAAGAAATCATTTGGGCTGTTTCCTTCATGTGTGCTGCCCCAGTTGAATATATCCTGCCCCCCTTTTCCTATATGGGTTCGACTGGGGCTCACCCTCTCTATTTCTTCCAGGTTGTTGGCTAACGCCTTCCACTGATCATTGGGCCACTAAAGAGCTGTTGATTATCATTCGCTGGGTGAATGAAAAAATGTAATATTTTGAAAGCGTGCAACGCTTTCAAAAAATGTGTATTGTGAAAGCGTAGCGAGGGCCAACGCAGCAAAGGCAGCGTTGAAGCGCTACTCATCCTCTTTTACCTAGAAAAGAGGGACGTGAGGCCATTTGGCCTCACCCACGTTCTTCATCTCTAGTTCCTCTAGTTCTATTTTCAGTTCTCCTCGTTCAACCTGGCGAAAACCCAGTCACTTCCTCGAGGGAAGGCCCCAACAATGCTGCTCACCGACATTTTGAAGCACAACCTCGCTTCAATAGCGTCCGTGAGCACGGCTCCTATTTGCCTGACGATCAAGGCTACTACCCCATTAACCCCGCGGAGCCCGGAACTTCGGCCAGGTCAACCGCCCGTCGCCAGAAACGTCCTGCTGAGGACAATTCTGGCGAGGGGCCCTCAGCTATCAAGGTCCTCCTCGGCACCACTCACGCCCCTCCCGAAGAAACACGGGCGGCTGCCAAACAGCCGCGCGTGCTGCCGCCCGAGGAGCACGCGCCTGTGCACGCCGCGACGACTGCAGGCCAGGCGGGCCCCACCAACCACATGCCCGTTGACGAGGTCACGCCGGTCGCCGCCGCCCCCACGTTGACTGCGCAGCAGCTGCAGGCGCTGTTGGCGCCATTACACCACCAGCAGCCTGTTACAATCGGAACTTCATCTAAAAATATAACTGCTACAACCAATT